GGTGAATATACATTAATAATTTAAGATATAATAATAATTAATATTGTGCTATATTATAATATAATATAATTTTAAAGAATTATAAAAGTTACGTACTACTTAAGTTCAAATAAGTTGCATACAATAACTGTTGGATGTGACTAACCTGCAGTCGCATTCCGGCTGTCTATTAGCCGGATTTAGGCGGCATATACCACCATTTCTACAAAAGTCGAGTTGGCAGATGGGTGTTTGGCAGTGCTGTCCAGTAAAGGGTGTCCTTGAACAGTCACAGGACGGTTGATCGCCGGGGGTGACTTGACAGACTCCGCCGTTCAGGCAGAATCCTGGTGTGCAAATGGGCATTTCACAGCGTGACCCAATGTGTCCGGTATTCGAGCAGTCGCATTCCGGCTGGTCATTTCGACCAACAAAACAACGACCCCCATTTGAGCAGAAGGCCGGTGTACAGATCGGGATTGTGCACCTAGTCCCGACGTACCCGGTCCCTTTGCAGTCGCACTCGGCCTGTGTCCTCACTTTGGCCGTGATCGCCTCGGTGCCAGAACTGCTGACGATGCAACGACCCCCATTGGCACAAAAGTTAGCCTGACACACGGCCACCTCACAACGGGCCCCCGTGAACGGAGTCCCCGAGCAATCGCACTCCGGCTTGCTGGCAGAGTTGACAAAACACCGAGCCCCATTGGCGCACCAGCCCGCCTGGCAGATGGGATTATCACAACGGGGCCCCGTGAACTGGGTGCCCGAACAGTCGCATTCCGGCTGACCTGAAGCATTCACGAAGCATCGACCAGAATTTGCGCATCTGCCCGCCGGGCAGATGGGCCGTTCGCAACGTTCTCCGGTATAACCGGTGCCCTGGCATTCGCAGACCGGCTCACGTGTTGGGCCCACTCGACAGACGCCGTAGTTGCGACAAAAGTCGGCCGAACAAATTGGCCGTTCACAATAGTCGCCATGAAACTCGGTTAAACGGCAATCGCAACGTGGCTGGTTCGAGTTCGGCTCTATAACGCAGGTTCCACTGTTTCGGCAGTGATCGGGCAGGCAGATTACTCGCTCGCAACGATCACCGGCAAAGTTGGTGTTTCGACAGTCGCAACGTGGCTCGTCGTTGGCCCCCACAAAACAGCGACCACCGTTTCGGCAAATGTCGCTGGAGCAGATCGGCGCCTGACAACGGTCGCCGTGAAAACCGATTCCACGACAGTCGCAGATGGCGCGTGACCCATCCATGCTGCAACGGCCACCGTTGAAACAGAAGGTGCCTGAGTCGCAGGGGGAAACTTGACAACGGTCGCCGTGGTAACCAGTTTGAGCACACTTACACATCGGTTGGACGCCGCCTTTGAGGAGAAATCAAGAGCTATTCTTTAATTTTTAAAAACTTTATAGCCCAATCTCTGAATTTATTTAACGTCATACTACTTGCTGATAATAAAAGTAGTCTGTTTGCTAACCTGGAAGCAATAATTAACCTAATTTATCTATAAATTATATACGAAGATAATCTATTAGTTAACGTTATTTGAGTTCAATTCTATTTTGGATTAATATATGCATATTGAAGAGACTCGGGATCACTCCCACCAGAAGAAGAAATATAATACAAGGCGTATTATTTATATATTATTTTATTTATCGAATGTGCTAAGATAAAAAATGATGAGTTGATTTATTGTAGCTTGTTTAAATTAAGATGTGGTCTAATCTACTTAGGAATGAAAAAATTAGTATATAAAACTATCCGCATTTTTAACAGACATAACTTTGGAATATTAAAGATAAATATCGTGGTTAACCCAAAAAAAATTATTAAATGGACTAGAAGCCCGTTAATGCATTCTTTTCAATTTACCTCTTAGTTCGCAGACACCGCCATGCAGGCAATAGTTGTCTGGACATGTGACCAGCTTGTCCTGACAACGATCTCCGCGATACCCAATCCCGGTACAGTTGCAGCGGATCTCTTGATCGCTAATTGACAAACAGTGACCTCCATTATGGCAGTAATCGTGGGTGCAGCGCTTGAGGGCTAGGGGGCGAAGAAGTGAGGTTGGAATGATGTTAGGACATTTATGGGAGAAAACTGGAGAAAGCCGAAGGGTTTTGGTATATTAATTAGGTCAGTACAGTTTCCATATTCTTGTACTGCTAAAAAATCAAAACAGTCAACAACCGTCCAGTAGGATCCTTCATAAAAGAGAATGTTGTGTAGGCAATCAATTATTCTATCCTACTCCAGCCAATCAATTATTTCCTGGACTGGCGAGTGAATGTAGATGAGAAAGTTCAGTAGAAGGTAAATAATTACAAGAAGTTATTTGACCTTGTTTTCGCAACTTGGTCATATTGGTAGGAAGCCTTAGAGAAACACACATAATCTGTCATATAGTTACGCTGTCCTCCTTCCCAATGTATAATCAGAGTCTCTCTCTTGCCGCATAGAATTCGTCTGCAATCTCCCTGGTTCAATTATTTCACTCGACCCCTGTCACCCCAACTGTGCTAGTCGAGGCATTATTACGCCTCATCTGTGTCTGGGTGACTAACTCGAGGCGAAACGTCTGGGAATGTACCACATCCACGATCCGACTTTGGAAATTATCATGCATACAATAGAATCCGGACTACGTTCGTTCCTCTAAGTCTTCCTACCAATATGACCAATTTGTGAAAACAAGGTCAATCAACTTCTCTGGAACGAAAGAAGAATGCGACCACACAAAAGGCCACACCATCTTGGTCTTCATACCTTCGAGTAAATAATTACTGTTATTGTGTCATATTTCTCAGTGGGAGAAATTCTCGCTCAAAGAATAGAAAAACCAACGAATGGGATTATAAACATGGTGATGGAATGAAACGAAATAAGGCAGGCAATTATGACGGCACGAGAGATGGTGGAGAGGCTTGTCTTGAACGACTGATGTTCTCTAATTGTCTCTCTTTAAAGAAAAAAGTAGAAAAAATAAAAAAGGTCTACTTTACATAAATTAATTAACGATTAGGAGGTAAATATACATCGACTTTTAGGTTGCCCAAAATAAATTCGAGTGTTTATGCTTAAAATAACATAAATAAAAATAATGAAAGTGCAAAATATTATGGGAATATAGCTTGTTTTTGTAAAATTAAAATTATGGATATTGTACATGTGCTTGCAATCTGGCGTCGCTTTGAATGCTTGAGTTGTAGCAGCAACACTTCTGGCTCGAAGATGTCTGTCACTTGACTACAATCCCACACTATTAGCTCCTTAGGTTTCGACAATATCTGATAGCCGAAACAGCTCTGGTTCGGTTGAGGGTAAACTAATAACGAATTTCAGTCCTTCCCATTCATCTTCATTTACTCTTGTCTATGCTGAAGTCGGGTATCCCTTGCCTTCTAATCAACCCTCTTAAATCCGATTCAAGGTAACATGGAATCTAATAAGTCAGACAATGGAGGGCTTTTGGACAGTGTAAATTAAACAAATTTTCGACACTACTTGGGGCTAAAACACTACATTAAGACAATCACCCCATAAAAGTTTGTCTAAATGTTCTGTCTCAAGTTTGGCTCATCTCTTTCTGCCAAGATCGTAGACAATTTCGACCTGGTGGGATTCGCGCCTAGGACTTGCTGCTATATCACAGTTACGTTATCAAATTCATATCAACATAGAACAGAGCGTAATTGGTCTGTCCCGCAATGATGGTGCTTGTACTTTGTCTTTAATATTGATCACATGTTCTGGGTTTGACTACAGTTTAGGCGAGCCTAAGAGAGGCCGATTTCGAGACCCTTATCATGTAGAGAATGCCTTATTCTGTGTTGTTATGACAATGATAATGTAATTGTCATATAGCTACAATTCCTAGGCGCGAATCCCGTCAGGTCGAAACTGGCTACAATCGTGGCAAGAACAGATTGACCAAACCCGAGACATACAAAAATGATTGTCCCCAAAATTTGATAAAAACAGAGGGCGTTATGGCGAGACTTGGGAGGCAACATTGACGACAGGAAAAGAATGGTGTCAGAAAGTATACGAATAGGCATTGGGAGAAAAGTGAAGAAAATCCTAAGTGGAAAACAGAAGAGGGTGCGATGTGTAAATTGGGGCTAACCTACCCTGAGCTGAAAGCAAACAAAAACACGTTACAATGAAATAATGTACGTCAGGAGCATAAAAACGAAGAGTATACAGTAAAGGGTCCTGCAGTAGAAACAGAATATATATATACCCCTAAATGCCGCAAGCCTAAAAACTCAATTAATTTTTAGATATT